GTGCCGTTAAGGTTGAAAAAAGGGCTGTCAGTGGGTAACTTGGAGGAAGGCATTCTGTTGTCGCCCTCAAATGCCGTGGCACGAATGCCCTCTTTGGTGGGTGCTTTTACGATGGTGCCGGCGACGGCCGAACCGTTCATTCAGATTGTGAACAAGGGGCACGTGCCGGTCGTTATTTAAGAGGGGACCACGTTGGCGCACGTGTCGGTCGCACGGGGTTCGGAAGGGGATGCGTGCTTGGCAGCTGGGGGAGGTGACACGCTGCCACGGGAGGAGGAGAAACCGAGCTGGTTTCCCAATTTGTATGAATGCAACGACGATTTGACACCCGAGCAGCAGACGCGGTTAAGGGAGTTGCTTTTGGAATTCAGGGACGTTTTTAGCTGAGGGAAGTTTGATGTCAGTCGCACGACCTTATTGCGACATCACATTGATACTAGGGATGCGCCCCCAATTCGATTAAATCCTCACCGTGTGAGCCCGCTGGAGAAGGATTGCATTCGGAAAACGGTTAATGAGATGTTGCAACAGAATATCGTCTCTTCTTCTTCCAGCCCATGGGGAGCTCCAATCGTATTGGTTAAAAAACGAGATGGTTCTCTACAATTTTGTGTGGATTATCGCTAATTGAATAAGGTTTCAGTGGTGGATGCATACCCGCATTCTCCGGTGCGAAGTTTTTTTCCACTTTGGATCTCTTGTCTAGCTTTTGGCAATTGCCCTTGGATGAGGAATCTAAACCGAAGACGGCCTTCCGCACGCCGCAAGGGTTGTTCCAATTTAATGTACTACTGATGGGGCTGCACTCCGCGCCATCCACCTTTCAAAGATTGATGGAACTTGTATTGTCTGAATTGCAGTGGGAGTATTGTTTGATATACCTTGACGACGTCATTGTGTTCAGTAAGGATTTTGAGGGACATTTGCAGCGGCTACGGGCTGTGTTTGGCAGGGTACGGGATGCCAATTTGAAATTTAAACCCCAAAAATGCCATTTGTTGAGAACGTCTGTTAAATACTTGGGGTATGTGGTCAGTGAAGCAGGGGTCGCCACAGACCCGGAGAAAACCAGTTGTGTAAGTGCATGGCCAGTGCCTAAGACAGTGTCGTAAGTACGTAGCTTCGTGGGATTTGCGTCATACTACAGTCGATTTGTTAAAAACGTTTCCACAATTGCGAGGCCACTGCACACGCTGACTGCTAAGGGTAAGAAGTTTCTGTGGGGTGACGAGGAACAGCGTTCATTTGAAACGCTCCGGGACGCATTAGTGGACGCACCGCCGCTCGGATATCCGAATTTTGCAGAAATGTTTATTTTGGGCACCGATGCCAGTGATACGGGCATCGGCGCTGTATTGTTGCAAACGATTGACGGAGTTGAAAGGGTCGTCGCGTATGGCAGCTATATACTGTCCCCGGCAGAGCAAAGATATTGTGTAACACGCAGGGAATTGTTGGCGATTGTACACTTTGTGCAGCTGTATCGACCATACTTGTACGTGCGACAATTTTTGGTCTGCACCGACCACGCGGCACTACAGTACTCCTTGCGGATCGATCAAGCCACCGGGCCAAATGGCCCGGTGGCTTGAGGTCCTGCAGGGATACTCATTCACGGTCCAGCACAGGAAAGGGACGCGTCATTTTAACGCGGATGCTCTGTCCCGATTGCCTCAGTCATCGGGCTTGTGTAGATGTTCCGAGGGATCGCTGCGCTGTGGGCTGCCGCTGCAGGGCATTCCGGCCATGGCTGCTGCAGCCGATTCAGACTGGGTTGGTGATGCACCGGCTAAGGAGCCTGGGTTGCTGGGATTGTCACGGGATTGTTGGGCGCGCTTGCAAGCGGACGATCCTTCGCTTACCAAAATGAGGCTTCGGGCCTCTCATTCCAAACCGTCGGATGATCGGGCCTTTCTTCGACTCATTGACGACCTCCTGGTCAGATGGGATGTCGTCTTACAGAAGTTTTGTATTGTAGTACCACTATGTTTGAGAGGGGAACTTATTCGCGACACGCACGAGCGCTTGATGCACTTGGGGGAGAAGAAAACGGCTTTGACTTTGAGTAACGATTTCTATTGGCCGGAATTACAGAATGATGTTCATTTGTATATTAAGGCTTGTCACGAGTGCGCACGGTGGAAGGCGTGCACACTCGTGACAGTCGATACGTGTTTTGCGATTGAACGAGATTGTAGCCCTTGATATTTTGGGACCATTCCCCATTACCCTGAGGGGTCACAAATACCTGCTTGTGGGGGTCGAGTACCTTACTCGGTGGCCTATGGCATGGCCGCTAGTGGACCAATCGGCAGGATCGATCATGGAGGCCTTCGTGCAGGGTTACGTTTTTGACAAATGTGCCCCGGAGCACCTGCTTACGGACCAGGGTAAGAATTTTTCGTCCCGCCTATTGAAGGAAGTGTGTGACGCATTGGGTACAAGGAAAATTCGGACATCCCCATACCACCCGCAAACCGACGGGATGGTTGAGCGTCTTCATCGAACATTGACGTCTGTTTTCTTGGTTCTTTCGGTAAAGTCACGTAGAAGGGACTTAGATGAATCCCTGCAGTCACGAAAAGCTTTAAATTGAAAATTAACGTCTGTTGTGCCAACAGGTTAATTCAACTCAGACAGACTGGGATCTACATATCCCGGCAGCCTTGGCCGCTTATTGATTAGCCCCACACGCTTCGACAGGGTATTCACCCGTCTATTTGATGTTTGGTCGTGAACCAGAAGCCCCAGCCTTGGTCAGGCTGGGGGTGAAATTTAAAGGGAAGTCGCCAGCAGTGCCTGTCCCCATGCGTGAGGCATTGGATTGGTTGAAAGAGGCCAGGGAGGCCTCGCTGGGGAATACGGAACGAAGGCAGGCGGCTAATGAGCGCCTGCACGGTACACAGCCTCCACGTGAGCCATGCCTGGTGGGGGACAAGGCCTGGTTACATTGTCCGATGCTGCCAGTAGGCACATCACCGAAATTCCATCGGCCCTGGCACGGGCCCGTTGAGATTGTGGAAGTTCGTCGGGATCAGAGTGTGAGGATTCGATATGGTCGCCGATTGTGGCATATTCACCCGTCGCGGTTGAAGAGATATGTGGTGCCTTATGATGCGTCATCTCCCATCCCGGAACGGCCTGTATTGGATGTGCCCGACGAGCGTACTGTGCGGCGACGGGAGGACGAACCTCAGCAGTCTACCCCCCGTGTGTCTGCAGGATCGCCATTTTTGAGTCAGGGGACACCTCGGGGCACATTAGACCACGTTGGGGTTTCATCGAGGAATGGCCGGTGTAACGAAGATGGGCGCACGTTTCGGGCAGGACGCTGCCCCGTGCCCACGGACGGAGATACCCTGCCCCCTGTTCAGTCGAGCCGGGGTGACGGACCGGCTGCCGGAACCCGCTCAAGAAGATTGAGTTGGGGATTGTGTAAATTTTGTTGTATGTTGTGTTTTCCTTATATGTTGTGTTTTCCGCGTGACGCGTTGTGTTTAGCCGGGACAGCTAACTTTTTCAACAGGGGGTGGGGGTTATGTAGGACTTAAAATATCACGCGCCACGTGTTCTGTTGCTAGGCAAGCAAGCAGCGTACAGTGGGGGCAACTGAGGAGACGCCACAGGTGTTAGGGGTAACTGAGGACGCAGGCCGGTGATTGGTCAGGAGGGTGAGTGGCTGATGACTGACGCTGGGCTGGCGGCGATAACATGGTCACGTGGGGCTGGGGGCCTGGGGTCGAGTGGCGAAGCGGGAGATGAGATAATTGATTGGGACTGATTGGTGCGGGGATTAAAGGCACAGCCTGACGGAGAGACGGGAGTCTTGGTTGGGGTTGGAGTTGGAGTGGTTGGTGCCCGGGACAGAGAGAATACAGATAGGGTAGCAGTGGATAGAGAGAATACGGATAGGTGAGCAGTGGATAGAGAGAATATAGATAGGGTAGCAGTGGATAGAGAGAATACAGCGTACGGTAGCAGTGGATAGAGAATGCAGATAGGGTAGCAGTGGACGGAGCGAGTACAGAGTAGGGTAGCAGCGGAGTAACGGACCTTGGGGGAGAGGGAGAGAGAGCGAGTGAAGCTGCGGAGCGGAGCGAGTGAACAGAGAGACATGGAGTGATGATGATGGCGGGTTATGCATTGGAGCGAACGGAAAGGCATGGAGTGATGACGAGGAGGAGGTGTGAACTATATGCGTGAATAAAAGAGACAAGAAAGACAAGAAGCTGTCGTATGAGTACGAGTCCTACACCTGTATAAAAGACACCTGGGAGCCAGAAATATTTCTGATTGAGAGGGGGTCAAATACTTATTTCCCTCATTAAAATGCACATACATTTATAACATTTTTGACATTCGTTTTTCTGGATTTTGTTGTTGTTCTATCTCTCACTGTTCAAATAAACCTACCTTTAAAATTATAGACTGATAATTTCTTTGTCAGTGGGCAAACGTACAAAATCAGCAGGGGATCAAATATTTTTTTCCCTCACTGTACATGGGTAGTGATTCAGTGGCGACTTTGTAGGGAAACAACTGATGTAGTTACTGTACCGGTATCGTCCAAACATTCCAATGCTTTAAAATTACCTGAAAATTGCTCAATTGGGATCACACACAGCAGCAGCAGCATATCGCCCTGTACTGCGAAAACTTGGCAGAACACTCCTGACAAAAAGTTTTGCGATGTAACCGAGTCTTTCCTGACCGTCGTCATTAACATTATTCGTATGGAGTTCTAGAATTTCTGTATGAACTGTGTTTTAATTGAGCCTCTTCGCTCGGTGTCATAAATGTCATGAATTGTGATCTAGTTGCATGTGTTGACATGCTGTCTTTCCCCCGCACCTCCAATTAGCACGGTTGGCTACGTGTGGTGTGAAAGAAGTTCTACATACATGCATATATACACGACACGAGGATACCCTCATCCAGCAGTGAATGGACACACGGGCTGGCGCTGTGCGCATAACTGCGTGCTCTTTGTTGTCACGCAGCCATGCACTGGGATGGAGTGAGGCTTGTCGGCTACACGGCCTGGTCACTCGTCGACGGCTTCGAGTGGCGCTCCGGCTTCTCCATTCGCAGGGGCCTCTTCCACGTCGACTTCTCCAGCGAAGATAAGCGGCGGTGGCCCAAGAGTTCCGCGCACTTCTACCGGCAAGCCGTGGCCAGCAATGGCCTGCCGGCGTCCGAGGAGAGGGCCTTCGCCAACGGCACGTTCCCCTGCGACTTCCTGTGGGGAGTCAGTGACGGCGTTGTGCAGGTACCGCTGGGATGGACGCGGCGAGCGGCGATCCACATTTTTATATTCGCGGCACAATCCTGGCCATTGCAGAAACCAGCGTGCGTCTCGGAGATAAATGAGCGGGAGGTACAGGTGACACTTTTATTAATAATAATAAACACTATGGGAACCTCATTTGCCAGTAAAAATATGATAAGGTTCCCATAGTGTATATGCTTGCCCCGAGCTCTCATACTCTGATGGTGCATTGTCTTTGAGTTGTGCGCCTTTTGGCGCCATCTGGTCCAACACCATGTGAGACTAGGCTCTAAGGAAAGCTGTCTCGGGTGTGGACCAATCAACTTCAAGGACAGTGCATACATTATCAGAGTTATGTCTTTTGTTTGTATTTATGACCGCAGGCATTGCGGTCGATGCAAACATGACTCCTTGTAAAAAGGTGTCAGTTTTTGTTGCCAGATAGAAGACTAAAAAACCAATTATTATAATAATAATAAAGTCAATTTGTATCTCTGCAATGCCACCACCGCGCAGTGTTTGCTCCTTCTCGTAGAGGAGAGAGAATGATTCAGGTGGCGAGAGGAGGAACGACAGATGAGCGGGAAGGCAGCAGCCACGCAGTGAGTCGGCACCGTTAAATGCCCAATCTAATGTGGGAGGAAACCGGAGGAGCCAGAGAAAACCCACGCGTGCAAGGAGGGAAACACTCTATCCTGTACAGATGGAGCAGCTGGAGTCCACATGTTTGCTGTACTGCCTTCTCCTGGAGAGCCAGTGTACAGAACCATCTTAACACTCATGAGAAGGGATTTTCACAAGAATTGTGTGATACACCAACCCTCGCTGCCTCCACAGTGCTAGATGACATCCATGTGCCACCTTAACGCTTTAATTTTCCACATTCAATAACAGCCCTTTTATCAATCCTTGGCTGAACGAGGGCTGCCCCACTAGGTATGGGTTATGGGGGTAATTTTACCATACATCTCGCCACTGAGGCGCCACTGTGGGGATATGTTAAGTACCTTGCCTGATATACAGGAGGTCATGTATTCAATAACAAGCCTGACGCCTGGGATTTGTAGTTTGCATGTTCTCTCTGTGGTCGCGTGGATTTTTCTCTTGATCCCTCCACATTTAGAATCCACATGCGTTTAGAGTATTTGACTGCTATAAATCTCCACATAAGCCACTTCGTTGAGATATCATTTGTCTTCTGAAAAAGAGCTATATAGTTCAGTGAGCCTTACCTGGTAGGATAAAGAAAAGTTATGTTTATACTTCACCAATGTAAAAATTATAGGCAATGTTTCTCAAGGTCCCCTATGGACTCACCACTGTCTACCTCTCCCCTCTCATGTTACTCAACTCCCCTCCATGCACTCTCCTACCTCTCTCCTCTCACCTCACTCTACTCCACTCTACACTCTCTGCTCCAGCAAATAATTTATGTCAAAGGCCCCAGTGACCCTGTGCTCATTGGAAGGTTGCTCATTCTCTTCTGCTGTCCACATCATGTGGAAATCCCTTCCCTCCTGCCATCCATGTTGTCAACTCCCTGTCCTTGTTCAAGTCCAGACTCAACCCCTTCCTTTTTTCCTCGGCCAATGAAAGACTGCCTCTGTCCCTCTATGAAATAAATGTGCTCACTATGTATATGGAGCATCGCGAGACATTGTCGCTATATAAACCAATGTCCCTTTACGCCCATGTCCACATCTGTTCATCTCTCTGTATCCATCAGTGTCTCCGTCTGCGCGCACACCCCGTCTGCCCATGTTCTCAGGTCGAGGCGCCGCCAGTGTCGCCGCAGTTCAGCGATGGCGCCGTGTACAGATGGAACCGCGGGGGCGACGGCAAGCTGCAGCGCGTTGCCGCACTCACGGCCACGCGCCGCCGATCCGAGTGCCCAGACTACCCCGGTATCAGGGAACGGATCTCCCTGCTCAAGAAACTCCAGGTCAATGCCTACCGTTTCTCGTTCAACTGGAGTCTCATCGCCACGGGCGAAGGTGCCACCAACTCCTCTGCCCTTGAGTACTACAGGTATTGGAACTCTTCCGGTTCTTCTGCAAGTTTAATTTGCTGAATCTTGACTTAAAGATTTCGTGGCTGCAGGAATTCATATTCTTTGGGTCTTTCGGAAAAAAATAACGTATATGGTTCAAAGAAAATAACCAAAAACTACGACGTTTCGATCACAACACAAGGAAAGAGTAGGAAAGCTGCTGTTTTATAGTGTGTAGTCCTAGGGTCATAAATGAAGTGGCAGGGGCTAGTGATGTTCACGTGATAAATTAGCATGTTAATGTAAGATCGGAGAGTGGTCCGCGACGAGTGCGCGGGTGGCTATGTTAATGTTAGAGATTAGCATGTTAATGTAAGATCGCAGAGCTACCGCGACGTAGAGGTCGGCGTCCATAGGTGGCCACGTTGGCGTGATAAATTCAACCTGTTAATGTGAAATCAAGAGGCCATCGCCTCGCTGGTGTGTATATTGATGTGTGCTACGAGGGGGGGGGGGGTGATGTAGCGTCGGTAATACACAGCACCCGCCACCCTATGTATACTTACCTGTAGTTGTGGTTACGGGCCTGTAGGGGGTGCCACCTTGAGACAGACACAGAGAGAGAGCCGGACCGTTGAGAGGCCGAGTTCCCCGACCCCAGGTGAGGGGTTGGGGGGTTATTCCAGAGCCCCCTGGAAGGTTCCAGAAAGGGGGCGGTACCGGGGGCGGAGAGTCCCCGAGGTGGCTATAAAAGACGGACCTCAGGACGGCTTGAGGCAGTGCTCTGAAGACAAAGACTGAAGACCGGCTAGGCTAGGACCCTGGAATCCCTGGGACCCAACGTCCTTTTAAGGGCCGGGGCTGAGCGCGGGCCAGTGGTCGAGACCCGCACCTTGGCTGGGTCAGGTCAGCATAGCGTCCCCTAGGTCACCCTTAGCCGGAGGACTCAGAGCCCGTAGTCCCAGTGATAGGCACGTCAGCGCGGAGGCCATACCTTCCCAAGTAGCGGGGGTAAAGGGGCCTTGTGTTACAATATTTCAATAAACCGTGTGGCCTCTAAGCTATGTCTCCGGTCTCCATAGGAATGCACTACAAGTGCATATACATTACAAAAGGTGTCCATTACCGGTTGGGTTATGTATATGGTAACCAAAGTGCATTATACATGCACATAATGAAAACCCATTCTTCTTGTACCGCCTGTCGTTTGTGTGCACTAAAATAGCAGTACCTATCTAGATTTTAAGTTTTCGTGACTGCAGGGATCCATACTCTTTTGTTCTTTCGGTAAAGTCACGTAGGTATCAAATTAAATAAATTAAATCACGACGTTTTGGGCACAACACAAGCGTCCGTCATCAGGTGGGACAACCACAGCAAGAAACAATTGCTGAAGTGGGCAAAAGGAGCTGCTGCAATAAGATGCCATATAGGCAAGAGAAGGGGGGGAGGAACCAGGGAGGAGAGACAGGGAGGGTGGGGGGCATGTGGGGTAGGGGGAGTGGAGGCTACAAGTAAGATGCAAGCAGTACCTGTCATAGTCTGTTTAAAGGTAATCCCCATTGAAGTATGGTGACCTGTATAGGCATGCATTTAAACAATGTATTATTTGATGATTTACTTCCAAGCAGCACTAAGTTTGTAGCTATCTGAACGGTAAAATTAATTGTTATTTCTCTCAATTTCGATAGGTTATCTTATTAGTGTTGGCCAGTAGTAACTGGTTTGCACATAACTTCAATATTATCAAAATCAATTGAGTGTCCTTGTTGGCACGCGTGTTCTGCCACTGCAGACAGTTGTATTTTGGAGTATTTAATATTTCTTTGGTGTTCTTTTAGTCTCGTGCTGATCATGCGTCCTGTCTGCCCAACATAGCATTTTCCACAAGAGCAATTAATCTGGTACACACCTTCTGTTGATAGCTTTGGTAATACATCTTTTGTACCAGATATCAATTTCTGTATTTTATGTACCATGCCAAATCTGACTTGGATGTTTTGTTTTTCCAAAAATCTGGCTAGTTTATTGTTTATTCCAACAATGTACAGTATTTTTATAGTTTAAATTACTTGGTCAGTTACAACGCTCGTGTTATTTGATTTGGTTTTGGCATTCAGTGCCCTGTTGATTTGTGCATCATTGTAACCGTTCAATTGCAGCACTTCTTTAAAATGTTTAATTTCACTTCTCAGAGTATCTCCATCTGACACTTTCTTAGCCCGATGTATGAGCGTCTTGATTATAGAGAATTTCTGTGTAGTGTGCGTTTTCAACAATTTATTTTTCTGGAATGCTTTCTGAACCTCAAACCCCCTCTCGCCTTTGACGCTGTGTTTGGTTCGGGTCACACAGGTGCTATGCCAAGGAGCTGCACCGAGCGGGTATCGCCGTGGTTGCCGTGCTCTACCACCCGGCGCACCACCACTCGGGCCTGCCGGCCGCGGTTGCGCAGTATGGCGGCTGGCTCAACGCATCGACGGCACCGGCGTTCGCCGCCTATGCCCGCCGCTGCTTCGCGCATCTCGGGGCCCATGTGAAGACTTGGATCACGGTCAACGAGCCGGGCAATGTACGGCTGCTTGACGGGCTCCGGGGCCACGATGGGATGGCTTACGCCGCGGCCCACAACCTGCTGCGAGCCCATGCAGCTGCCTGGCACATCTATGACAGTGAGTTCCGCGGCAGGTACGGGGGTCGCGTGTCCATTGCGCTGCGGGCCGACTGGGCCGAGCCGGCGAACCCGTTCGCTGCGGCTGATACCGCGGCCGCGGAGCGTGCCCTCGTCTTCCAGACCGCATGGTTCGCTGACCCTGTGTTTCGCACGGGATTCTACCCCACGGAGATGAGATCCTGGCTGGAGGAACGGCTAAGGCGGAGAGGGAGCCACGGCAGCGGCGGCGAAGCGACGCACCTGCCGAGTTTCACGGAGCAGGAGGCCGGTTTCGTGCGGGGCACGGGCGATTTTCTGGCGCTCAGCCACTTCACGGCGAGGCTGGTGCGGCACGAGCAGCGCAATGGGTCGGGGTACGAGGCTGATCAGGAAGTCCGCTCATCGGCGGACGCCACCTGGCCACGGTCGCCCTCCGGGGCAGCGATTTTTCCACAAGGCATCAGGAAGGCCCTCCACTGGATTGCGAGAAGGTACGGGCAGTCGCTGCCCATCTACATGATCGCCAACGGGGTGGTGGACAGAGCTGCACTGCACGACGATGCACGGACCTACTACCACCAGAGCTACATCAACGAGGTGTTGAAAGGTGAGGTGTGGGTGACACGATGGCGCAGTGGACGCTCGACTATCTGGGGTAACGGCATGGGCAAGGCTTATATAAAACAAAAACATGGATAATGCACACTTACGTAGGCTGACGTATAATGTCCTTATTGCTCTTATCTCTAGCGTGTCCACATCTATGTCATCCTCCTTTGAGCTTTATCTCTCCATCTTGCTCATCTTTTCTCATTTCATCTCAGGGCAGCCATAGCTTCGCTGGCCAATCCCCAAAGCCTTTTTTGAGATGGGCAGATTCTACATTACATGTAATTTGAATGTATAATTGCATTACATTTGTAATCGATACTTAAATTACACATGCATTGTAAAATTGGTTGATCGGTGGGTCGTGTACGGTGGGGTAAAGTGTAGGTAATCCAACTTTTTACAAGACATTTGTACACCAAAAAACTCTCTAGAGGGGCTCTCATGACAGATCGAGAGTGATAGATTACAAGGCTGCTCCATTATCTTTCATTTTAATTGCATGAGATTGGGGTTAGTTGACAATTTTTACCAAGTTTCACGAAGCAGGAGGCCGGGTTTGTGCAGGGCACCGACGATTTTCTGGCACTCAGCCACTTCACAGCAAGGCTGGTGTGGTACAAGCAGCACAACGGGTTGGGGTATGAGGTCGATCTCCTGATCGTCCGCTTGTCGGCAGACGACCACCGGGCATGACTCCCGTAATTGCACTTGTATTTAGCCCTTTTCCTTTTAAAACCAGTCGGGCCAGATGTGGTCCATGGGGGGAAGGGGGGAGTCTTCAGTATGAAGAGATTGCTGTTGTTGACTTGCCCGAATCCGTCTGTCTCTCGTACAGCCCGAGATCTGGACGGCGTGAACGTGACTGCGTACTTCGCGTGGGCCTTCCGTGACCGCTTCCTGCCTGAGGTCGGCTTCTTCAGCTCGGCACAGAGCGGCAGCGAGGCCAAGCATTCGGCCATGGCGCTCGCTTCCATCGTCCGCCAACGAGGATTCCCCGGCGACGCCAATGATGGCGCCGTGTCCACCCGCCCCTGTGAAGGCCTCGTTGTAGCGTCCACTAATTCCTCCTCCTCCTGTGTGCCGTGCGAGTTTATTCTGCAGCGGAAGCCGCTACTGGCGTTTGTGGCCGTGACACTCGTGCTGGTCGTTTGTTTTGCGAGCACCGCAGCCACCCTGCGCTGGTGCCGATCCGGCAGGCCCCCTCGCCATAGCACTGATGCCGTCAGCCAGCACCGGCGATTTGCTCTCCATGTAGAGGGCATAGATGGTGACACATAGGGGAGCTGTTTCACGAGTTGCCGTGGCGATGACAACGAGCTCCCGAGGCGGCTGCAACTCCTGACCGGCATCATTATCATCGTTGTCAGCCGGGGTCAACCCGCTGCTGGATGAAAGCCTCGCCAAGCTGCTGCCACCACTCATGATTCCTGTCATGTAATAATCCACCCAGCATCCACTGCACACGAGTTGATTTTATCGTTCCGTCTCCTCGGTTAGCGTCCTCTTGGTTGCGTTCCATTCCGTGGCTGCAGCTCCGATGTTATTCTTGAATACCGGACATCACGAATTGTAGATTCTATGTCATGTAAAATACAGTACGGAGTAATTTTATAATAAATGACTCATGATAGATTTTCTGGATCTTAATGTATCACTTATATCAATAGTTTACTCATTGTACGTGAAGTTCGGTGTAACTCTTAATTAGCTGGGTGGTGGTGGTGGACATCTACATTCCGGCACTTTGGTGGCAGTGAGGGTTGGTGGATCCCACACAGATGTTATGAAATTCTATTTTATTGGGCTCGCCAGAGAAGGCAGTACAGGTATCCTTTAACAGACAGCTGATAAGCTGCGCAGCGCCACAGGTGGCGCTATGGCCACGGAGGAGAAACACTGCACTACAAAATATGTAAATCCGTTTTGCGGACCCGCGCTTACCCGTGGATATTCTAATTTCCAGGTCATGTTTGGTACATTGGTATACAAGTAAGCAACCGTGTATACAAAATCACATAGATGGCAAGTCCGTGGTGGGCAAGGGAATGCTGTACAGCAAAATGTGGACTCAGTCTGTACTATCTGTATTGGATACATTGGTGCCTTCTCGCATGCATGGGTCTTCTTCAGGTGGTTCATTTTCCTCCCACATGTGCAAATACTCATTAATTGGCTGAAAACACTTTAATATATAGAGGACCGCATAGCTTGGGCAATTGTTGGTATGGGCTCAGTGCTTGGCTGCCTTCCTGCTTTACAGAAGTTCCTTGTGCCTCTGAGCCATAGCAAATACAGTGCACATTACAAGTTGAAATAAAATAATAGGTTTAAACATTAATGAAAGAATTGTCAAATAATAATTATGTCGAATTGACTGCAGGATGAGGGATTTCTAGTTTTGTGTCAGCCATGGGGGTTGTTTAAGCATACTTCACCCCCTGTCCAGTGAGCATTTGCGAAGCAGTAAGCACGCAGGCATGGATCAGATATCACTGGCCTCTGGGGTTAGCCATGGCCCGGAATCAAACTTGTCATCAGGTTTATAGCGCAATGCGAAAGCCACTGGACCATCCTCCACCGCTATCGTCGTAATGAGTATTGTCATAATATAGGCTCTGATCATGTGTAACCTTCCCCACAATTCCCACACTTCTGCTCAACTTTTCCATCTTCACTGGCTCCAAGTCTACTATTGCTGTCTTTAAAACAGTTCACTTTATCTTACTATGTCCCATCCCATCATTTAAGATCCCAACCATTCTCGCTTTTGTTTCTTTTCCCTTCTTGCACCCCTTCACTGGAACAAACTCCCACTGTGCATTAAACAATCATCTACACTATAACCTGCTTCTGTTTTTCCCTTAAAACAACTCCCATCTCTTCTTCGTTGCCTATTCTACTACTACTCCCTGCCCTCATCTACGACCAGACCTACCCCAGACCGTATCACTACCTTAACCCCTCCTAAACCACTCCTATCTGTTCTCCTTACTGACAATAGCTACACTCTTGATTTGAAGCTTTCGTGACTGCAGGAATCCATACTCTTTGGTTCTTTCGGTAAAGTCACGTAGGTAGAAAAATAATAGATCATGACGTTTCCATCGCAACACAAGCAATCGTCATCAGGTGGGACAACCACAGCAAAAAAAAACTGCTGAAGTAGGAGAGAGATCTGTCGTGGCACGAAGTTTTATAGGCTTCGGCAGTAGGGGGGGGAGAGAGAAAGGGGGGAGGAGGCGTGGCAGAAAGTGGACCCCGCAGCAGCACCCGGGTCACTGGAGTAAAGTGGACCACCGTGGCAGCACTAGAGAGATTGGCTGCAGGGGGGAGAGGGAAGGGGGAGACGAGGCGGGACAGAAAGTGGACCCCACGGCAGCACCCGGGTCACTGGAGTAGAGATCAGAGAGATGCATAGAAAGAGAGAAAGACACAGAGAGAGTCTGAAATAACAGCTGACATAGGCAGGTAGGATGGAAACACAGTCAGTTAAGACTTTACCTGGTAAATAACGTCCTTCCAATGGTAGCTCAGTTTGTACCCATCTTCTCGGTTGAAGTTGTGGCTGTGTTTATATATCTGGATGGCTTCATGAACAAATCTCTTATATTAGCCGGTGGTTTTGCAGAGTACCTTCGTCTTGGAAAAGTCAATTTCGTGTGAGCCCATTGCATTAAAACAATGATCAGCAACGCAGAGGTATTGGTCCTACCGTGTTTCAGATCTGCCTTGTGTTCGCGAACGTGGTCCGAGACATGTCGTTTCGTTTCCCCAATGTAACTGCTGATGCAGCCACAACTCAGTTTGTAGACACCCGGGTATTGCATATCAGGAATCACATCCTTTACAGATGGGATCATATCACGGATTCTGTGTATAGTGTTGAAACGAACCTGGATCTTGTGTTTGTTTAATATTTTGGAAATAGTTTTGGTAACCCCTGCTATGTATGGCAAAGTGATGGTATTGGTTAGATCCTCAGATGGTTGTCTCCCCATGGCTGTTGAGACAGCTTTGCGGATTGTATGGTCAAAATATCCGTTCATCCTGAGGGCTTGGTGTACGTGCTCCAGCTCACTGGCTAGGTGATGCTGGTCGGAGATGCAACGGGCCCTATGGTGTAGTGTTTTGATGAGGGAATTTTTCTGGGCTGGACGGTGGTGAGAGTCAGGCTTTAGAAAGGCATCCGTGTGGATGGCTTTCCTGTAGACAGTGTCCCAACGAGCCATCAAGTCTCTTCTCAATCAAAACATCCAGGAATGGTAGCTTGCCATCCTTTTCCACTTCCATGGTGAATTTGATAGATGGGTGTATGCAATTGATGTGGTTGAGAAATTGGTTCAGTGCTGGCGATAACAAACGTGTCATCTACGTATCTCTTCCACAATGAAGGACATAGGGTGGATGTCTGGATGGTATCTGTCTCAAATTTCTCCATAAAAACATTCGCTACCACTGGCGATAATGGAGAACCCATTGGGGTACCCTCATTTTGTTTGTAAAGCAGTGCCTTACCAAAGTTGATACATCTCGATTCAGTCCCTTTTGGACCAAGTCTTCAATGATCGCAATGGTATCAGGTACAGATACCTTGGTGAACAGGGAGACTACATCGAAACTGCCAAGTAAATCATCTGGAGACAGTGAGATGTGCTTGATTAGAGAAACCAAGTGAGCTGAGTTAAGTACAGCTGAGGTGGTCTTGCCCGTGAAAGGAAGCAGGGTCTCAGACAGAAACCGGGCCAGTTTGTAGGTGGGCGAGTTAATGATGGAGACGATAGGACAGAGCGGGGTACCTTCTTTGTGGATCTTTGGAAGGCCATAATATATGGGTGGTCTAGCAGCCGAAAGTTTTAGAGCGCTGCTTGGTCGAATCGACAAGAGAAGTTGAATTAGTGATGATATTATTGGTCTTTGTAGCTAGGCGGTTGGTGGGATCTCTGTTGGTTTTGGTATAGCTACCATCATTAAGAAGGTCCTGAATTTTGTTGTTGTAAGTGGTTTTATCCATGATGACAGTGGCATTGCCCTTGTCGGCTGAGAGGATGGCTATGTCATCTCTGTTTTTTAATTGAGAGAGTTCAAAACGCTCGTCCATGCTAATGTTGCTAATGGGGTTCTTCGCGTTTTTGAGGATAGCAGCGATTTCAGATCTAGCAACGTCTGCCGGGATGTGTCCCAAGCCTTTGAGGGCTACGTCGACCTGGGTAATGATATCATCCACTGGGATGTGTTTAGGGGTGACTGTGAAATTAAACCCTTTTGCTAGTGCCGACTTTAGGCTGTCGGAAATTGGGATGTTACTATGATTGATGACAATCTTGTTAACATCTAACTTTTTAGCATGTGGCTCTGGCTTCTTTTATGACAGGAGGTTGAATTTAGCAATCAAGTTAACTTTACATTTGGTTGACATTGAAGTAGCTGAAGAAACTGTCATGTTATCTACATGGTCCCAATCAAATGTGGACATTTTATCTGTTAATTCTAAGTGTGATTGTAAGAGAATCTTGTCTAAATTATCAAGTTCAAATCGAAGAAATCATATTCTGAGATTAGAGCTAGGCTGCCGCGGTGGTCCACTTTACTCTAGTGACCCGGGTGCTGCCGCGGGGTCCACTTTCTACCCCGCCTCCCCCCCCCTTCTTCTCTCTCCCCCCCCCCCCCCCCCCCTGCAGCCGATCTCTCCAGTGCTGCCGCGGTGGTCCACTTTACTTCAGTGACCCGCGTGCTGCTGCGGGGTCCACTTTCTACCCCGCCTCCTCCCCCCCTTCTCTCTCCCCCCTACTGCCAAGGCCTATATAACCTCGTGCCATGGCAGATCTCTCTCCTACTTCAGCAGTATTTTCTTGCTGTGGTTGTCCCACCTGACGACGATTGCTTGTGTTGCGATCGAAACGTCGTGATCTATTATTTTTCTACCTACGTGACTTTACCGAAAGAAGCAAAGAGTATAATAGCTACACTACCACTTTTAATAACCCACTCTTTATTTTCACCACTATCATTGAAGATACACTTTCATAACGATTGTAAAGCACTTTGGACTAAAGTGCTGTATAAATCTAGATACAAGTCAGATAATATTGAAAATGTATTGCGTTTCATATTTGTGTCTAACTTATTTCTAGATTCAGAAATGTTTTACTTGTGTAATAAAGGACTCTTCCACAGTGTCGATCTCCGTTGTCCTTTATTTGGGTTCATGTAAATCTCGCTCCCACGGCGTCCTCGCTCAGGCCCGCATCTCCTCCGTCGAGCACTCCGCAGCCACACTGCTGCTCCGCCCTGCAGCCACCCTGCTGCTCCGCTCTGCAGCCACACTGCTGCTCCGCTCTGCAGCCACACTGCTGCTCCGCTCCTCCTCGCTCACGGCCAGCCTTCTACAGCCCGCTAGCCCCCTTGCGCCCGGACACCGATGGCCGACGGTGCCAAGGTCTCCCAACACGTGGCGATCGCGCCACCCTCCCAGTACTGCCCAGCGTGGCCTCCTCCCGTTTTCACTCCGTCTTAACTCCCCGATCCCTTCCGGTTCTCTCCCTAAATCCTCTCCCCCACGTGACCCTAACTCCTCCCTCTCCTCACGTGACCCAGACTCCGCCCCCCTCAATCCTTGCTCGCATTACACTTGTTAAGAGGAGTACCGCGAGTAGCCAATGAGGGGCGAGCGTAGGGAAGTGCGGGTTGGTTGAGAGGTTCCATCAGGGCATGGATGACGTAACCTTGAGAGGTTGGGTGGAGCCTAACTGAATGGAGGAGCCATGCAGGAGGTTTAAAGGGACCCGGTTGCCTACGCTCGCGGTCGTTGTTGGGGCAAGGGTGAGGGACCGGCTGTGAAGACATCTCACCTCGTCGCCGGGCAGTGTTGGCTGATCCTCCGGCCGGGGCAGACGAGTGAATAGAGATAGGGGTAGCCGTAGCAGGGCATTGTATTGTTCGCGGGGTGTCCGTGTGAAGGACCGAGGTAGTGTGCACCTACAACTGGTGTGAGTGTATGATGCGGCGTGTGTAAATAAACGGAAAGCAGCCCGAGAACCATTCCTCGTCTCCGCGTGGTTGTGTGGGGGCCGACGTCCACCTCCCCGCTCCTCGTGAGCGGGCGAGGCACGACGTCCACCCCATCCACTCCCCCCTCCTCCTCGTCGGCCACCTCTCGGCGGGCCCCCGCCGATCAGGTGATCCCCCCCCCCCCGCGCCTCTCTGAGGGACATGGCTAAGTGGCTGGCTTACCACCGCCCGGAGTTATCCCACACACTCCTACGTGAACCACTACTAATGCGGAGGTGGCTGCGTGCACGCGCACGTCCCTGCAGGCGCTCGTTGCATACAAAGGCTAGCGCTAAAAATAGCAGTATGAATATTCACGCGCCTCTCCTGGTGGTTAAGCCCTAATTAGCGTGCCCACAATGCTATACGAAAAAGGAAATGACCTGCGGCAGGACCCTGGGTGCACGTCTCGCCGTTAAGGCTATTTCTAATGTGGAAACGCGCTGCGTAAAGCGCGCTGTGCAAACAAGCACGCGAGCTCAAACACGCGCAAACGACGGCGGCTCTGTGTGCTGCAGTACACGCGCCTCACACGCACTCTCAAATCACTCGCAAACCGTAGCGGTCGTATAGATGGTAATCTACGCGCACCTCACACCCCAACCCCACGCCGATACCCTGCAGCCCCGCGCTCGCTCTCTCAGGCACCCCGTCCCCGCACGCAGTCGCTCCACTCAAAAATCACAGACATCACGCCGAAGTTCACCCACCCACACAGAAATCAAACTACACCGGTCTTCTGAACTGAAGTTTATTAATGGTGCGTCTAAAGAAAAACCCTGTGTGGCCCGGAGTAAATATTCTATGAGCAGCGCCTAACCTATCCCTATTCAATCCCTGGGTGTAACCCCCACTCTACTTCTCACCTCGCAGACGCACTCACGGTGTTGCACGGACGCTGTGGGAGTCAGAGGGACAGTGATCCGAGAGGTCTCCGCCTGGGGTCGAGTCGTAGCAGCACTCGCTAGCATCTCTCGGACGCCGT